TCCCACTCACGTGTGCCTCGCGAGCCCGTCTTCGGTCGACAGCATACGTTGCTCCGAATTGTTGAGCAAAATAGTCTATGATGTCCATGTGTTTTCTGTCGGTTTCGGCGGGGCTCCGGGTCGCAGCTTCGATACGGTGGCGTGCGTGCGTGATACTTTTGACATTTTTGTCAAAGCCATCCTGCGACAGCATAACTTCCCCGGCGTCTGGTCTGTAACATCGAAATCCATCGATCCCGGCGTTTTCAGTGCAGAACATTCAAAGGAGTAGTTAACTACTGTATATTTCTAGGTAAGAAATAGGATCAACGAAATGGTGGCATGCAGTAGATTAACGTCAAACTAACCCAGTCAGTTCAGATGGTAATTGCTACTCTCCTGATAAGCCTCTTTTCTTGCGACTAACTGACTATCAAAGGAAAAACTGACTATTTTACTGAAGCGAGGTGCTGAGTCAACTGAGACGGAATGCATAATGACTGGGTTCAGACTAATTTAAACATGCGGATCTATTTCTTCACACTACTTTTGTAGTAGCTAATGAGGACTTTGCGGCGTTCTCAGCAAAGGCTGACATTCTTGATGATGTACGTAGTATTAAACTGCATACTGTAAGATTGCGTGACCGATTTGGTATCGAAGAGTGAAACGGCTCCGAAATGCTGAGGGTGGCGGCGAGAGACCTGCAGGATAATTCCTCGACACCGACTGGCTTGTCGCGAACGGATTTGTCCCGTGCTCCACGCCAAGTGCTTCGCGATCAAGGTCTGCATCCAGTTACAGATAACGGGGCACATCTGTCGGGCTGTCCGGTCCCGTTATAAACGATTATAGTACATAATAATAGCACTGAATAATTGCATAGTTCATTCGCCAAAAAAAGTGAATAGTACGCAGCGGTTTCATCTTGTCAGAAGTATCAATTCTGTCCAAACGTCGAAAGGACACTCATGCTGAACGCTGGTATGAAGTAGTAGAGCAGTCGATCCTTTTCGGCACCCACTCGTGTATGTTGCTTTGGCCTGAAGATCAACGTGCATCAACCACCACATCCGACTAAACACGCCCCCCGGGGAAACTTCCGCAACGCCTGTCTGTGTCGTGTAATTAAGTCAGGCCGTGGCTGGGTGCAGGTGGGACATGCTACTATGCCGTTTGATCGTGTCAAACCACACCATGGGCTTCATTCATTTAAACCTCGATTATTAGTTCACAGTAATCACAGATTAGCACTCCCCTCAGCCCATCCTATCCCATTCCCGGCTACACCACCCGTGCCGCGCATGCGCAGGGAGGAAGATGATCCTCGCGGTGCTGATCGCCGTCCTGGCATCTTCTTCGGCGCGGCCTGCGACGGCGGCGACGGCGATGCAGCCGAGGGACACGTGCCTGCGGCGGTGCGGCAACATCGACATCCCGTACCCGTTCGGCGTGGGCAGCGGGTGCCACCTCGAGACCGGGGACTGGACCTTCTCGCTCAGCTGCAACCGCACCGCCGACGGGCGGCACCGGCTGTACAACTACCAGATCGAGGTGCTGGACATGTCGGTGCGGCGCGGCCAGCTGCGCATCTACAGCCTCATCAACCCGTGGTGCTACAACGCCACCACGCGCGCCATGAACGACCAGAACAACTGGTGGTACAACATGGACATCACCAACTTCCGCATCAACGACGCCCTCAACCGCTTCACCGTCATCGGCTGTAACTCGCTCGCCTACATCCGCTCCCTCAACGACACCGCCGACCGCTACATGACCGGATGCATGGCCATGTGTCCCGGCGTCAGCCGCCTGGAGAACGGCTCCTGCGCCGGCGTCGGCTGCTGCCAGACGGCCATCCCGTCCGGCCTGAACGGCTACCAGATCTCCTTCGAGGAGAAGTTCAACACCTCCGGCACCGCGGGATTCAGCCCCTGCAGCTACGCCGTGCTGCTCGAGGCCGCCGCCTTCGACTTCCGCACCACCTACATAACCACCGACGAGTTCATGGCCGCCAACGGCAGGCAGGTGCCCCTCGTGCTCGACTGGGCCATCGGGAACAAGACGTGCGAGGAGGCCAAGCGCAACTCGTCGGCCTACGCCTGCGTCAGCAGCAACAGCGAGTGCGTCGACTCCAAGTACGGACGGGGCAAGGGATACCTCTGCAACTGCTCCGCCGGCTACGACGGCAATCCCTACCTCCTCGACGGCTGTCAAGGTACTTTGGTTTGGTTGGCATCTTCCCTTCCCTTCTGTTGGTTGGTTGGTTGTTTCCACTGCGGCGAGTTCATGGTGGTTCATGCATGCCCGGCCGTTTTGGCCGCCTTGTCCTTGCAGATATCAACGAGTGCCAAGACGAACGGTACCCCTGCTCTGTTCCGGATACGTGCGTCAATACCATCGGAGGATACAGCTGCGTTTGCCCTGAAAAGACATCCGGCAACGCATACAACGGAACATGCGAGCAAGACAAGTCTCAGATTGGGTGGGAGATCGCCATTGGTAAGACATCGAGTGCACAGGCAGGCAGGGGTTCGATTGATTTGTCCAATTTGCGTACCAACTCTCTCTCATGTCCATTCGTACTGGTTGCCGCAGGAGTCAGCATTGGTGTGATCGTACTGATAGCCGCCGCTTCGTGTGCTTACATGATCTACGCCAAACGGAGGCTCGCCAAGATCAAGAGAGAGTACTTCGAGCAGCACGGGGGCCTGACGCTGTTCGACGAGATGAGGTCGAGGCAGGGGCTGTCCTTCAAGCTCTTCACCCAGGAGGAGCTGGAGGAGGCGACGGGCAGGTTCGACGAGCGCAACGTGATCGGCAAGGGGGCCAACGGCACCGTGTACAAGGGAACCACCAAGGACGGCGACCTGGTGGCCATCAAGAAGTGCAGGCTCGCCAGCGAGAGGCAGCAGAAGGAGTTCGGCAAGGAGATGCTCATCGTGTCCCAGATCAACCACCGCTACATCGTCAAGCTCTACGGTTGCTGCCTCGAGGTGGAGGTCCCCATGCTCGTCTACAAGTACATCCCCAACGGCACACTCTACCGGCTCATCCACGGCCGGCGCGAGCGCGAGGGCCCGCGCATCCCGTTCACGGCCCGGCTCAAGATCGCCCACCAGACCGCCGAGGCGCTCTCCTACCTGCACTCATGGGCCTCGCCGCCCATCCTCCACGGCGACGTCAAGACGTCCAACATACTCCTCGACGAGGATTACACGGCCAAGGTCTCCGACTTCGGGGCGTCCACGCTGGCGCCCACGGACGAGGCGCAGTTCGTCACCTTCGTGCAGGGCACCTGCGGGTACCTGGACCCGGAGTACATGAGGACGTGCAAGCTGACCGACAAGAGCGACGTGTACAGCTTCGGCGTCGTCCTGCTGGAGCTGCTCACGTGCAGGAAGGCGCTCAACCTGGAGGAGCTCGAGGAGGAGAAGTACCTCTCGTCGCAGTTCCTCCTGGTCCTCGGGGAGAACAGGCTGGAGGAGATGCTAGACCCCCAGATCAAGCGCGAGCAGAGCATCGAGGTGCTCGAGCAGGCGGCGGAGCTGGCGAAGCGGTGCTTGGAGATGCTCGGCGAGAACAGGCCGTCCATGCGGGAAGTTGCGGAGGAGCTTCATAGGTTGAGCAAGCTGGCCCAGCATCCATGGGGGCCGCCAGATTCTGCGGAGCTAGTGGAACTGCTGCGTGGATCACCGTCACCGACCACGTACTCTGGCCACTCTGGGTCTGGGGTAGAGCTTAGTAGCACTAGAAATGTCAGTTTCACTGACACGGCGTACATAGGAATTCAGTCTCCGCGTTGATGCCCGGTGCACTTTGGGTACATACACTCGTGTGACAAATCCTCCTGTGTTTTGCTCTCCCGATTGATGCAAACAAAAATTGAAGCATTTTTCACCTTTACTCCCCATTTGTACGTTTTTGACATATTTTACCACATTTAAAAGTATTGACACATTTTACCCGGCATGGTGATGTGGGTTGGGTCGGGCTATGTAAGGCCATTTCTAACCGATTCCTAATAAATAATGAAGTATCCGGTGAAGTAATGTAACATCCCAAAAATTTAAACCATATTTTTATTAAGTAAAATTTTGACATAAAATAAAATTTTGTATTATATTAGTTCTTTTATTAATGTTAGAACCTTTTCTGTTTTTCTGTTTTCAAAAACCCCTTCCTTACATATAGAAACTTTTGAAAATATTGTGGGTTTTGAAAGTTTTTCTTAACCCTTTCATTTGACTTTTAGAATTCAGTAGTAAATATTTTCGTAATAACAATTTGCCCAAAACAATCGTTTTAATGGTATTTTCAACTCAGCACACCACAACCTTCATTCTCAACCTGATACCCAAACCACCAAGATGCCTGGCCCTATCGTTCTCAACGATACCACCGCCACTAAGCTAGGAGACTTTGAATCCATCCTCACCAATCTTACCATCGTGCATTTGGCATAGAAGAACCCCCGGAATATGTGGTGTACCAGGAGCACATGAGTGATGCCATCCATCACTCTTGGGCCATGGTGCACATCTACGGGAGGGGTACCACATTAGAACACCCCTACCGGTTCACTGGAAGGACGACTTCCGATGAGCCCCAAGCCATCCAGCTTGCAGCCCGAGAGGCTATAGTTCAACTCTGGCATCGATCGCCAAGGGTTAACATCCGCCCTTTCTTCTACTACCCTAGTCGCGATGGCTATGGTAGCCCGACACCAAGTCGCAACAGAGAGCAGGAGTCGGATCCTGCTCCAGTGCATCTGGTGCGCTACTTGAGAGCACAAGAGGCACTCTTCGATCAGGTCACAAATGATCTGATTGCGACCCGCAGGACACTTGCTCTCTTGACCCCGGTAAGAAGTGAAGCTGCATTGGCCACCGACACCCAGATAGTGTTGTTCGAGAGACCAATCAAGCCCTCGAGGTCTGCCCCTTTTGCCCACCCGGGCAATGCATTCGCTTCTCCAGGGGAACCCCGTCACCTCTTGGAGACCTACTCCAACAGGACTGTGGCCATGACACCTCGCGAGGGGCACCATAGCTATCCCAGCCTTGTAGCTCCCCATCATACCCTGGCCAACTCTAACACAGAAGCACATGGAGAAGCCTCGGCATCTCCAAGAGGCACCCGACTGGATGTCAACGAAGTGGACTGAGCCCACCAGAGTAGTTATCAAGCCTTAGTAACATGGTTACCCTGTAATCTTGTATTTATGTATCCTTGAAGTTGTAGTAGGAGACCATAGTAAGTTGCAAACTGCTCGTAAGCCATTGTTTCAAATGGTACTCTCCGTGACCCAAGTAAACTTCTTGACATATGGTTGCAGGAAAAAATCTGGGCGTAACTACCAAAACTACCCTAACCGACAACCATAGTAATGCATCACTTTTGGGGATTGAGATATGAGACTTTGACTTGGACAACCCTATGACGGAGTAGATACCCAAGTCGTACCGGCGCCACATCATGTTTCCTAACCTAGGCACTCTATAAGAGGCCACTCCCGTACCCAACCCCGGCATTCGTCAACCTTGAGCACCGCCTCCATCTCTCAACCATTCCATGTCTCATCCCGGATCATACCTGAGAACTCCTGAACAAGACCTAGTAGTTTTGTTAAGGTTTTCTACGATTTCACTCGCAATACCCTTGGTTCTAGCCACCCATCCCAGTATGAGTTGTACAAAATGAGGATCACCTCTGATTCCTCGAAGTACTGGGCAGTTGTGCAAATCCCACTAGAGGATTTAAATCAAGGCCATCTGTATGTTGTCTTCATCAGGAGATCCATGCCAACTTTAGGCATGGCCATTGAGGTTGCTGCTTGTGAAGCAATTACCCGCCTTCAGTTCTTATTACCCTGTGCCAGCGAAAGGAAGTATTGCTACTTCCTGAGCCACGCAACATTTGGAGCAGAAGCTATGTTCTGCCGTAAACGTATACAAAGAGACCCAGCATTTGTCAATCAGATTCAGTATGTGATGGCGCAGGAGCATCTAACCCAGCAACTAATGGATTATCTCCATTATCTTGCTGTCATGAATCCCATATCGCCATTGGCGGACCACCATTGCCAACGTAGGAAGGGCATGTTCTTCGTCTACTTCCTCCACTTCCTCCAAAAGAAGAGTGTGTGTCCTAGAACCAGGAACCGTTCCACACAATCCAGTAGATCACACCTCTGGACCGTAGACGATCATGAGTGTGTTTGTAGCAGTGCATGTAGTGCTTGGTTGAATGATGTGCCTTCTGTGTTGTTGCCTTGATTTTCTTAAGGGGCGTAGATTTTGTAACACCTCAAAAATTTACAAAATAAAATTTTGTATTATATTAGGTCTTCTATTAATTTCAGAATCTTTTCAATTTTTCTGTTTTCAAAAATCCTTCCCTCGATATAGAAACTTTTGAAAATATTGTGGGTTTTGAAAGTTTTCCTTAACCCTTCCAATTTGACTTTTAAAATTCAGTAGTAAATATTTTCATAATAAAAATTTGCCCAAAATAATTGTTTTAATGGTATTTTCAAACATTGAAATGCTTCTGTTGAACTAAACATAATCCAAATAATTTTTGTAAAAATGACAAAAAATTTGAGAGATCCTATGATGCATGTAGATCACTTTTGTGCAAAAATCCAACTTGGCCATTTGAAAATTTTGAGCACAACTTCCATTTTTCGATTCTGGTCCAATTTGAGCATTGAACTACAACCCCAATTTTCATTGCTCAAATAATTCTAAAATTTTCCACCTCATAGTCCTTCCAACCAAATCCTTAAATCCAGAAGCTCAGCTCAATTTGCATCTTGGATGTCCACTAAATGTTTCCTCCAAGTTTGGGTCCAGAACTAAATTCCACCAGAACTTGCACTTGCAAGATTTTCCTTTTATAAAACCAACTCCACCACCATCTTTAACATCCAAGCATACCTCCACCTGCCAATCCACAAGTCTAAAAAAATTACCGAGGTCACACTAACATTCTGTCGAACACCTTGAGCTCATAATAGAATTTGCCAACCTTTCTAAACTCCATGTGACAGTAGCTCCTCCTGCTAAACTAACTTGTCCACCATCCTTGTCATCCAGAGTAACACTGTCCTGCCAAATCTCAGCTTGATTGGATCACTATAGCCCACCCTGGCATTTTGTCGAACACTCAGCGTGCATGTCCAGAGCACGAGCAGAGCGCCTGTAGTGCAGGCTTTGGCATCGAGCTATTGTTGTCTCCGTGATTATACGTGTTTGTCATAGTAGGTCACATTTTCTATCATGCATGTACATCCATAATGATTTTATGACATAATCAAGATAGTCATACTTGTGCTGTTGTAGAAGTGTTCCATGACATTACCAAAATTGTCATCACGAAAGTGTCCACTTCCATGATGATAAATCGCGCGTCATAGAATTGATTTCGTCAAGGGTAACCGACACATGGAGTCCACAATAACGGGTCGCCGTTAAGCTATCGGGTTCCGGTTTGGATCTGATAACCCGTTAACAGCCCGGACCAATGGGGATTTCCCACGTGTAGAATTCTCAATGGATAGAGGAACCACGTGTCGGCTCATTGTTGGGATAGATGTCATCCACTCACTGGACGAAGGCGCCTATGATACGTCGACACATGGCACGGCCCAACAGAGACCCATTCCGGTGAAAAGGCCGGCCCATTTGACTTGGTCAAAAGGTAGCGGGCCAGCCCACGAAAAGCTTGTTAACGACCTGTTCACATATAACCCATTTACAGCCTGCTAAGTCATGGCCCGTTCCGGCCTATCCAAATTAAGCCCAGTAGCATCATCTGGGCTGACCAATATGATTCCAACCCGTTGTAACTTCTGGCCCATGTATGACCCATGACGTCTTTCGGCCCATATGAGGCCCTTTGTAACTCTTGGCCCATTAACGACCCGTGGTGAAACTAGCCCGTAATGAACCGTGTATCGCTTTATACCCATTAACGGCCCATTATTCCATTGGGCTGTTACCAGCCCGTGTTACCTTTCAGCCTTCTCAGGGCCAATTTATTCTTGGGCTCATTTCCAGCACTTGGTTACTTACGGCCCGTTACTGGCCTTTTCTGCTTGTGGGCCAGATTCAGCCCGTGGTTACAGTCGGCCCATTTGTGGCTTGTTAATCCGTTGGGCCGTTTTCATAGCGTCATTAAATACAGCCGATTAACGATGACCCGTTATGGTCGGCCCATGAACGGACGATCCCAACTCTAGCCCATTTACGTCCCATAATGCGGTCCATTATTGGCCCATGTTTGGCCAATCGATCATACGACCCGTAGAAGGCCCATTGATGATATGCCCCGCAGAAGGCCCATTGTTTCTACGGCCCGTAGAAGGCCCATTGTTTCTACGGCCCGTAGGAGGCCCATGTTCACTACAGTAAATATGTAGTCATGGTTATTGTGGCCTAGTTATAAAAAATAGGTTATTGCGGCCACTAGCAAAGCGCAGAAAAAGAACTATACTGACTACAAGCAAACAAATAAACAAGACAACAAGGAAATAAATAAGCAAGCAACTTACGCTAGGCTATCACGGCTATTACACATATTACATCCACTGGGCATCAAAGTTCGCCACCAGTGCAAATATAGGGAACAAAGCAGCATAACACATACACTGGTGTCAAAGTTGGCGACCATTGCAAATAAACGCCGCAGCAAAACAAGTCCAGAACTGAAACCACTTCAGAAGAGCTCAAGAAACAATATCCTGGGGTACCCATAATGGCGGCAAGATGCTTAGCAAGCTTATTAACTTTGTCTTATTTGG